TGGCCAACCACGGTTCGAGTCTCAGACCTGGTGGCTTGCTTTGTCACTTTCCCTCTCTCACTCTCTCTCTCTCTGTGACATTCTGATCAAATTAAAAATAAATAAATAAATAAAAATGAATGAATAAATAAATAAAATTAAATAATTCTTAAAAAGAATATTGCAGGTCATCATTAGAATAGCAAGATAATAGATGACTTTTATATTATTAAGCTACATTCGATTTTCAGAAGAACATTTGATTTAATCAAACAATTAAATATACTAGTATTGTTTGTATTCAGGAAACAAATTACATGATCTTGTGACATTGTGTTGTAATGCCTTTTGAATGCAGACAAGGATTAAAAGATCCTTTTTTTTTTTTTTTTTCACATTTCCACCTTAGAATCATAGTCCAGTTCCCTGAAAATTCATAAAAGGTTCTGTATTCAGTTAAACAAAACCCCTCATCTGCTCATATTTAAAAGTATAGTTCCTGTAATGCCTAAATGAGTTCAGTCCTGCAGCTTCTCTTCAATAAATCTGTGTGGTTCCTTCAACTGTCCATAGATGAGCTGGCTCTTTATTACTCCGGTTGTCTTGGGAACACATCCTTGTTCACATGCATTTCAAAGTGTAGGGCCCAGCATGTAGAAAAATGCCAACATGTTCATTATGTAAGTTCTCAGTGCTATATAGTAGGCAAAATAATGGCCTCCAAAAGATGTCTGTGTTCAGATCCCAGGAACTTCTGATTATGTTACCTTATCTTTCAAAAGAGATGTGATTAAATTAGGGATTTTTGACATAGGAAAAATATCCTGGATTTCCTTGTGGGCTCAATGTAGTAACAAGGATCTTTGTAAGTAGACTTCAGAAGCAGGGTCAGGGAGGGGTTTGAAGATGCTCTGCTACTAGCTTTGAAGGGGCTGAAAACCAAAACCAAGGAAAGCAGGCAGTCTCCACCAGCTGAAAAGATAAGGGAATGGGCTTGTCCCTAGAGCCTCAGAAAGGAATGCAGCTCTACTGATACCTTGATTTTTCACTTAGTGAAGCCAATGTGGCGCTCTGAATTCCAGAATGTCACCTTTCATGGCCTTTTCCATCTTCAAGGACAATAGCAGAACATCGTTAAATCTGACTCACTCCTACTGCTGCTGCTTTTTTCTTTTTTAGGCTTTTGCCATAGGGCACGTGCACTCACTGGAGAGAGACAGAGACAGACAGTGAGAGGGAAAGTGAGAAGTTGCCTCCCCCAGGGGGTGGCCATGCCACAATCATTCTTCTGGGGTTTGGGGTACACATGCACATATTCCTGGTATGATTTTTTCTTTTTTTTTTTCTTTTTTTGGAGAGGTTTTTGCTATAGGGCACGTGCGCTTGCCAGACAGACAGAGAAAGACATAGAGACAGAAAGTGAGAAATCTCCCCCGCCAAAGGGGATGGCCACACCGCAATTCCTTCTCCATTCTCCTCTTGGGATCTTGGGCACGCACGCACACGCACCCGGCGTGAGTTTAAGCCACTGGGTCTGGGATTCAAACCGCGGTCAACTACGTGGGAGTCCAGCGACAGCCATTACGCTAACTGCTGGTCCCCCTGGCATGATTTTCAAGCCTCCAGAGCTGGGACTCAAATCATGATTGGCCATGTGGGAGGCCAGGACCTCAACCACTATGCTGCCTGCTAGCCCCCTCACTCCTGTTTCTATCATCACATCTCACTCTGTCATCTCTCTCTTTCACTCACAAGGGCTCCTGTGATTACATTGTGCCCACTCGGACAACCTAGGAGTATCCCCTGAATATCATATCTGCAAAAATCCCTTTTACCGTGTAAAATAACATATTCAAAGGCTTCAGGTATTAGGTGATGGGCATCTGTTGCCTACCACATCCAGTTTGGGTGAAGCCAGTGAATAAGGTTGAAATGGAAGGGAAGGAGGTGGGAAAAGAAGCCATGGGTTTATGATGTCGGACCCTAAAGCCAAGTGAAAATTTGGGATTTTATTTTGTGATGGAATGCCTTGGAATGTTACCAGCAGGAAAGTGACATCATGATTTATATTTTATAAAGATAATTTTGGGTGCTATGTGGCAAACTGACTACAGTGGAGATAGGCTGTCCAACCAGGAGACCCTGAAAATATTCTAGGAAAAGATGATAGTGACTTGGATTAGGGTAAAGGGAATGGAGATGGTGAGAAATGCTTAGGTTCACGGTATCGTAAGGGTGCAAGATGATTTAAGGATAATTTCAAGGATTTTAGCTTAAGCAATTGGGTAAATTGTGGTATAGTTAAACACAGAAGGTACGAAGGAAATTTTGGGTCATTTTTTGTGGGGAAAGTAAAAATAAATTTGAGGGACCAGCATATGACATAATGATTATGTCACTGGACTCCCACATAGCCTAGTTCCAGACTCGGCGATTTAAAACTCATGCCAGGCGCACGTGTGTATGCCGAAGATCCTGAGAGGGGAATGGAGGAGATGGGATTAGATGTGACCATCCCCCTGGGGGGTAATTTCTCGCTTCCTGTCACTCTGTCTCTCTGGTGAGTGCTTTTTCCCTGTAGCAAAATCTCTCAAAAAAAAAAAAAATCTTTTTTGAAATGCCTGGTATACACTCAGGTGGAGGTGGTGAGCAGACAATAATGTTTATCATAGACCAGTTTGCAATGAAAAGAAGTCAGGAGACAATAGTTAAGTATCATTACTGTATATATGATAAAGCCTTTAGACTGGAAAGTTAAGCATATATTTATTATGCAGCGTTTTCTTTTAGAGAAATTTTTGCTAAAAAGTCCATGTGCTTGCCAGAGAGACACAGAAAGCAAGAAATCACCCACCAGGGAGGATGGCCAGGCTGCAATCCCTTCTCCTCTCAGGATTTTGGGCACATATATACACATGTCCAGTATGCGTTTTAACCCGCCAGGTCTGGTACTTGAACCATGGTTGACTATGTGGGAGTCCAGCAATATAACCATTACACCATCTGCTGGTCCCAGCATATGTTTTTTATTTTTATTATTTTTTAAAATTTTATTCATCTTCATTATTATTTCTTCAGTTTGATCGCAGAACAACAGAGAGAAAATGAGAAAGCAAGCTACAAGTCCAGGACTTGAACCATGATCGATCACGTGGGAATCCAGCACCTTAACCACTATGCCACTTGCCAGCCCTTATTTTGTCTTTTTAAAAAAATTTTATTTGTTCATTCATTTATTTTAATTTGACCAGAGATAGGCACACACACACACACACACACACATAACAGAGAAAGAGAGAGAGAGAGAAAGTAAGCCACCAGGTCAAGGACTCAAACCATGGTCAGCCATGTGGGAGTGTCCAGCACTTTAACCACCATGCCACCTGCTGGTCCCTATTTTGTCTTTTTAAAAAACAATTATTTATTAAATTAAATTAATTATCATTTGACTAAAGAGATAGAAAAGGAAAGTGAGAAAGCCAGCTGCCAGGTCTGGTGGGAGTCCAGTGCCTTAAGTACCACACCACCTACTGACCCATATTTTGTCTTGTCTTTTTTTATTTAGAGGATTTCAGACTTATAGTATATATATATACATATATATATATACTATAGTCTCTCTCTATATATAAAATGTGCATAGGCCTTTCACCCAGGTTTGCAAAGTTAACCTTTTTCTACAAGTGTTTTATTCTTTCCTTTACCTTCGTACTTATCCATACACAGGCATTTTTTCCTCCTCTGAGCTGTTACAGAGTGAGTTGCAGACATGGTACTTCTATGCCCCTATATACTTCAATGGGTTTTATTCCTAGAAAGACATTCCCTTCCATCAGGATTCTCAAAGTATGGCCTCAGGACCAATGGAACTGCATTACCTGGAAATATGTTAGAAAGCTAACTTAGAGGGTCCCACTACAGACCAACTGATTTTGGCAATTCTGCTATTTATAGAGAAGGAAAGTAACATAACCTCAAAATTACTATCTAATTTACAGGCATTATTTAGATTCCACCAATTGTACCAGTAATATCTTTGATATCAAAAGTTAGAAATGGTACACTTCTGAGATAAAAGTGGTAAAGTATAATCATATGGGGCAGTTCAAGAAATACAGTTAATTAAAAAAAATAATTATCGGAGATTGTCAGCTAGAGAAGAGGCCCCAAAATGGAACCATTGAGAGTTGTGGAACCAGAGGATCACTGTGGAGGAGAAACAGCATCTGGAGAGGTGGGAGGGTGCAAACAGTCACTGAAAGGAATGATCCATCAGCAGTGACAAATGCTGGCAAGAGGTTTAGTATGATGAGAGCTGGAATTGCTCGCAGGACTTACAAGTGGAGGTCCCAAATGACCCTGACCAGAGAGGAATGAGCTCAGAATGCAAGAGAAGAACATTTTGGGCAAGTGCACACGCACCCCTCATGAGTTTTAAGCCGCGGGTCTGGGACTCGAACCACAGTCTACTACATTGGAGTCCAGCGACGTGTTACGCCATCTGCTGGTTTCCCCGAGTGTATTTTCACAGCGGGACGGGACTTAAACAGCGAAATGGGTCTTGTGGGATCCAACGCCTCACCTCCACGCCACCTGCTGGTCCGCTGCCCAAGTAATTTTAATCAGTGGAGTCAAGGCCGAGAAACACAGCTGGAAAGAAAAACAAACAACAAAACCTAAAGGGAGGAGGACTTCACTGCTGGAGCCAAGATCTTAAGGTGCTGAGCAGTGTGTCTTGATTATCAAATCTTTCAGCTACATTATCTATTTTTTTTCTACACGCGTCCACAGGCAGAGGAAGGGCTTCCAACAGTAACTCCACTCTCCGGGAGACAAGGAAGGGAGGAAAAGGCCCCTGTAAGTCTCTTCGGAGTCTCAGACCGGGACCCCGCGGGTCCCTGGGCTCCCGCGCACCCGACGCCGCAGCTCGGTGGCCG